AAGAAGTATGGAGCCAACATTATTCAGTTACAAGTTCATAAACAGATCCACTGGCAAAGTAAATGCAAGCAGTAAGCAGCATCAGTGGAAAGCCTATGACTAAACCAAATATGACCAAAGCTACAAGGTCACTGTATTGCATGAGAAATACTAAACGCCCTTTCTGTGACTACAAACTGTACTTCTTTAATTCAACATCTTTTCTTCTGTCAAGTCAAGATTCATCAACCATTCTCTCTATTGGCAAATTCATCTCGGCAACCCATTCCTATCTGTGGCCCTTTGTCAGTGAACACTGACATAAAGCAGTCACATGCCATGGATCAGAGCAGGCTGACCACCTATCCCCAATCTTTGGGTTCAGCAAAAGGCAGGTTAGCCTTCATTCCAAAGGAACAAGTTTCGGACCCAGTAAGTCCACTCCTATTTAGTATCATTATTTCCGATGATCCCTACCCAAACACTAGAGGAAGAATCAACTTCGCCTTTAATGTCAGGACAATACATGGAAATGAACTGCTACTAAGACTATTCAACAAACTCCCAAACAAAGATCAGGGAGTTAAAAATCCCTGATTTACCTCTTCTATTTGTATAAACAGATGCACACATATCTTCCCTAAGTGTTCTGCCCATTTGCGCCTAAAGTAGAAGGCGTGCCCATCGCTGCTGCTTTCTTGCACTGTATTAATTCTAAAAGGAGTTTTGGTAATCAAAGGAGAGGTACCACTCACAGTCCCCTAGAAAACCATGATCACTGATTTCATTTAGTGCTAGTGGTGGCAGAATGCACAACATAAAAGCCGACGGGCTTTTTAAGGGAAGGGGCCACAGAACTATAGGAAATTCTTTGCATACTGATGTTTGGCTAATTATTCATGAGCAGTAACTAGCAGTCCCTCAAAGAACACCAAAGAGGGTGGAGGCATCTTTAGTGCTTGATACCATCAGCTGTAATTCAGGGTCAAAGCTACATGAGAGCTAATATAAACAAGCTACATATAGAGCAATGCTCCCATAATACCAAGAGATTTAAACATGCAGTTTCTCTTTCTCCTTTCAAATTAGTAAATCCACTAAGATTTCTATTCACTTCAGCTATAGAGATTCCTGTAGGCTTCAAAACAAAGAATAACTATACAACCTCAATTCTACTTTGCAGAATCTTTTTACTTTTACATTTCAACAAAAGGAACAGAATACAGCAATAAGCAACAGAGACCTAAATCAAAATATTTACATTTCTAAGTACAATTTACATTCTTCTGATATGTGCCATGATCTAACCCCTCAGTCTTACAATTCATAATACCTGGTCAGTGGTTATTAGCTCTCTATAAATAAAATCATTGAACAGAATTTAGGGATACGTGCCATAAAGGTTTCCTTACAATCAGGTTTTCAACAGCCTTGCTGCTGCAGTTGACAGTTGACAATTGCAGCCATTCATTAAAGTTCCTGGAATGTAGCTTGAAGAGTTCATATTGGTCAGCTATCTCTGCAAAAAGATCTGTACTCTCTGCCCCTTTTCCAATAGGTCAGTTTAAGATTTTGCTTGCACCTCCCCAACCCCCTTTCCAAAAAACAAAAACAAAAAAAAAAACAGTCTTTCAAACATCAAGTTTGAACAAACTTTGCTAGCAATATCCATCCAACACTGTTCATAAATTTTTATAAGACCTATTTCAAGCCACCATTATAAAGCATTCTACATTTCAAATTTTTATCAAAAAGACTCCTTAAATTTTAGACAGATCATAACTAATTCTAGCATGTCTTACTAAAACTACCAGAACCACTTACATTGCAGTGTATGTACTGTATCCACTTCACAGTTAGCAAATGATGCTAAATTTGATGAACTATAAAAGATCTCCTAGGATATACTGGTATAAAACCATTTTATTATCTTGTAATTGGGTGTCAATAGCTCAGTCACTCAAGTTTCTCTGAAGTAGTGTGAATAATAATAGTGAACAAAAAAGGTCAGGCCTTGGACTCAGGACAACCTATATGAGCTATGTGACCAGGGGCAAATCACCTAACCTCTCAGTGCCCACAGGCAATTCTCCAAGACTATATAAATTGTAGGAGAGTTACCAAATTGCAACAGGGGAGGAGTTTCCACACCAGGAGTACCCCACAACAATAAGAAAATACAGTAAAACTTGTTTAATGCAAATATTTTGTAATAGAACTTCATATGAAGTTTGTTTTAGCCAAAGGTATCAGCCCCAAATCATTTTATCTATTTCTCCTCCCTTAAAATCCTTACTATTATCAAACAAATGTTTCCCATATGCCCTCAAAATTTTAGGTAGCTTAAATGTTACAGAAGTCACAAAAAATTACGATGTTATACCTACATATTGTAAATGTAGCCAAAATTATTCACCTTTCCCCACATTTATTCCATTTTTGATATGAATTACAAATTAAATTACTTGTAATTTTAAAATTATAAATCCCACATATGGAAGTCATAAAATTTTTTCTCAAAACCATTATGCCAAAAACTAAACTTGAAAACAATCCTACTTTCTATTTTATAAACCACCCCTCACTCTTCTACATTGAGGGCAGGGGAAGAGTCAGTACTGAACCTACTTAATGGATTTATTCCTTCACCAGGATAAATGTGTTGGTACAATGATAAAATATTCAAATGTGTTAGATTACAAAGTAATTTCTTTTCACTACTACAGTGAATTTAAAACTCAGAGACTAAAAATAATGGCCTGAAATTTGGAATGCACATAATTCATAACTGTTCCAAGGAATGCTAAGTGAAAATCTTATCAGAGTAAAAAAGACTGAAAAAAGTGCCAACTGTGTATTTTAAATACGCAGGTATCAAAATTACTGGGCATTCCTGTATATAAATTTGAAACCCCTATATTGGTTTAAATGATAGTGAGTGGCACTTATACAGTACCTGGCCTACCATGAAGTACAATCCAGATACACCTAAAAAGATTATTTTTGCAACACTTCAAAGTTTTATTAAGTATTCAATTTATTTTTATGCTTGATGAGATTTTTAAAAAATACCTGATAAAAGATATTTTAAGAGGAGGGAGGGAAGGAGGGATAGGTGAGAGAAATAGACTCAGACCATATACTATACTAACGAATAAATTCTAGAGTTGACTAGTCATGTGTTCCTTTGCTTATTGACTCAATCATTCGTAAAACTAAATTCTAGAGTATCATTATAAAGCCTAGTAAATCAAAGGGGGAGTGGGACATAGCAAAATGAGAACTTTTTTTTGAGTTATGTACTAAAAAAAAAGTGATTAATCCACCTGTCTCCTCTTGAGCTGATCAGTGGGATGGGAGCAGAAGCAGAGAGGTGCCAAAATGATCATGTATCTCTCACAAAGAAATGACTGGTAGGTGGCAACCCAAAAGGAACAATGCCTATTACACAGTACCAATTGTTTCTGGGAAACTGAGCACCCAAACCTGTATTTCAGATCTATGTGACTATAAAAAGTAATGTTGCTGATGTTCTTGTGGCTTAATGAATCAGTCCCACTACTTTATATTCAGGCTTTATAGATAAATATACTGAATAACACAGCTAACTTACGGGCAGGTAATAATAGTCCCTAACTCTGAAATTGAGAATTTTTAACAGCTACAAGTCATTTTCAGAAATATTTGGAATATATAGTTGACCTTAGAAATGAATGGATTTCAGAAAACTGTTCATACTTAATGTACGTGCTGTGTTAGCAGAGGAAATTGAAGACATACTAATTGTATAGAGGGAAGTGGAAAGAAAGATGGGAAAGGGCTAAGAGGAAACACAGGGAGAGAAAGCTTAACAAATAAAGTGCAAAATCGTGTTCCTCTACACACCATACTATCCTAGAGAAATCTTTTGGAAATGATTCAAGTGTCTGACAACACTTAAAAAATTAACCTCTTAAAAATCAAAGAGTGCTTTAATGTCTTTTCTGATCCTCTAATTTACCTGCAATTTTCTATGTGAATTGACAGCATATTTTTCACATTTGTAACCATAATCCAATTTTTAAAAGTAATTTGTATAGAAAGATAATATATCCAATTTTCATTTTGAATTCCTTCTAAAACTACTAAAATTGTTTAATATTCAACCAAACGGCTGCTATTAAACAATGTGATAGTAGTCACTAATTTTCAGTTAACCTCTTTTAAGAGCTTCCCTTAAAAAGGGCAAGGGGGAGGGGGAAGCTAACAACCTTTACAATTTAGCATTTAAGTTCCTCTAAATTCAGAATCAGACACACAGCTTTAAAAAAAAGAAAAACCCCAAAACCTCAATCACCTATTTCATGCCTTTTCCCCCACAGCAGAAAGACAGAGGGAAGAGGGAGCCTTTTTTGAGCATCTTTCTCTTTTAAAACGGTAACATTTCATTTAAAAAGTCAGGTGAAGTTTTTTTTTTCTTCTAGAATTTCTAAGGAATGAGTTCTTGAAGTTCTATCTGACCCCACCAGCCCTGCTCCCTGGACAAAATACCCTGGAGAAGCCGCCTAATAATTGCAATTTTTTCCTACTAGGTGTCTATTCCAGCCACCTATAAATTTATCCTCTCTAAATGATAAAAAAAAAAAACAAAACCTTGAAACTGACATTATGGAAGCTCATGTTCTCCCATAAGTCGACAAGTAGGATACATTAGAAAGAACTACCATGGAAAAAAACTATTTGAAACTGTGCTATCAAATGTAATTGTGATGGCTAGCCTAAAACTTTTGTTCTTGATATACAGCCTTTGAGAGTTGTGGCTTGATCAAGTCATTTGCTGTAGTTTTAGGTAGAGCTTTTAAATGATCTAAAATGAACACTTCTTCGGGTCTTCTGTAAACCCATTTTGAATACATAGCAAGTATATTTAAATGACCTTCTGCTCAGTGCCCCAGAAGATTTTTTAAAAAAAATCAGAAACTCCAAAATAAAAGTAATTGATGTACTAACACTTTAAATGTTTAAAATGAAAATTTCCATACCTATCTTCATCGCCATCAACAGGAATGGAAATACCTAAGACAGAGCTGGCCAGACTGTTCATAGGAGTCGTTGCAGGCAAAAGGGGATTTGCCAGGGCATCCTGAATGGGAGGCTTCACAAGAGGTTTATTTTCAGCAATGAGAGAAAGTGGTGGTTGAGGTAGGGGTTCTGATTTTCTTCTAGTCTCATCAACGTGTCCGGCTAGAGGCTGTGTCTGAGTCTGAAACTGGCTTAGATTGGCCTGCGGCAGACTGGCTGGAACATTAGACGTGCCTGGCATCAAGGGAAGTCCGCTGGAACTTCTGCTGCCCGAAGTGTGGCTGCCGCTCAGCTGGGACTGGACTAGAGTAACAGGGACATTTGGCATAGTAACAGAAGTAGTAGACACACTAGGCACACTGGGACCTGGCACGGCCGCAGGCACACTCGCACCTCCGGGGACCACGGCGAGCGAGGCACTAGGCACTGCTGCCCCTTGGCTGCTGCCGCCCATTGGAAGCTGAGTCACGGATTTGGGGGGCATCCCAGCCCCGGGCTGCGGGATGGCAGCCTGACTGCACATGGCCGGGCCACTGGCTTCTCCAGACTGGGAGGGTCCTCCCACCAAGTGTACTCCCACGGAGGGGGCATTCTGGCCGCTGCCCTGACCCACAGGAAGACTGGACGTCCCAGCGCTGCTAACAGAGGCCGTGCTAGCTTGCTGAACACTTCCTTGGGGCTGAATCGCTGCCATGTGCTGCATGTAGTCGGTCTGGCCAGAAGGCTGGGATGGCAGCAGATGCCCAGCAGCCATGGGAGGCTGAGGATAAGCAGCAAACGGCTGGGGCGGGGTCCCCGGCGCCCCGGCGGGCTGCACCTGCTGCGGGGGCTGCGGGCCTTTCCCATTGTGTCCCACCGAGACGACGGTGGGCGCCGTTCCGGGGGACGCGCTCTGCTGCGGGGGCCCTGCCGCCGGGCCGGAGAACAACGGCTGGGCCGGGCTCGGGGGCACAGCCCCACCTACGGGCGGCTGCGGCTGCTGCTGCTGCTGCCCAACCACAAAATGCTGGGACTGGGGCGCGGGCTGGGGGTGCGCCTTCTCCGTCTGCAGCGCCTGGGACACGGCAGCCAGGGAACCGTCGCCGCCAGGGTCGGAGCCCTGCGTGGCCTGCGCGGCCGAGACCACCACCACGGAGCCGCCGGTGGCGCCCAGGCCGCTGTCCCTCTCGGCGCTGGGCTCGAAGGTGGTGCTGTGCCTAATGCAGTCCCCGGTCCTGCTGAGCACAGCGCTGTCCGAGTCCCGGTCGTAGTACTCCATACACGTCCATCGCCCGCGTCTATAGGGCTCCCCGGAGCCGTGGTCCAGCTTGATGACCCGAAAGCGGGAACCGCAGGTGGCGGTGGTCTGCGCCGCGGCCCCGCTGACCAGCCCTGCGGCCGAGGCGGCCGCGTGGGGGGCGGCGGCCGCAGGCCCCGGGGGGGCGGCCGCGTTCCGGAGGTTAACAGCGCCTCCCCCGTTGGCCGCCGCCGCCGCCGCCGCCGCGGCCAACTGCCCGTCCAGGAGGAGGTTGGGCGAGACGGTGCCGGGGGTCTCGGCTTCGCCCACGTTGTTGAGGGTCTCTTCGGACGAGCTGCGCTCGCACACCTCCTCCGGGCCGTAATCCGTGGCCCGGGAGACGTCGAAGATCTCGGACGACACGTCCTCGGTGTGGGACTCGTCCGGGTCGTCCAGGCTCTCCGTGTCCTCGGTGATGCTGCTCGCCACCTGCGCCGTGGTCACGCTGGTGATCTGGAAGCAGCTCTTCTTCTTGGCCGGCATCTTGGACATGGTGGGGGCTACGAGGCCGGGGGCCGCGGGGGGACCCGGATCCCGCCAACACCGAGGGCCCGAGTCTGGGGGAGGGTCTGAAACCCGAGCCGGGCGCGTCAGGGGCAGAGCCGGGCCCGGCCGGGGGTCGGACACATCCCCTCTCGCTCCTCCCCGCCGCGCCGCGCCGTCCCCCCCGGGGCCGATCGAGCGCTCCCTGGGGTGCTCGCTTTCCCCCCCTCCCCCCGCTCCGAGGCGCCGCCGAGGCTCCGGGCCGGTCCGCAGGCCCCGGGGCGCGGGCAGAGGGCGGGGCGGCGCCGGGCTCGCTTCTCGTCAGGCCGCTCGCGGCTCTAGCTGGAGCCCCGCAAGGCCATGCCTGCCCGCAGGCCTGCAGCCGAGGCGGGCGGCTGCTGTCCGGGCGGAGGCCCCGGCTGGCTGGAGCTCGGCGCTCCGGGTCGCGGGCCGGGTGGCGGCCGCTGAGGGCCCGGGGCTCCGCGGGCTGGGCTGCGCGGCGCTGCGCTCGGCCGGAACTCAAATTCAAACTGCTGCGGCTGCTGCTCTGGCGGCGGCAGCTCCCTCCCCTCGGCCAAGATGGGGCCGGAACGGCCGCGCCAGGGATGCTGGGAGGAGGAGCGGCAGGGCCGCGGCCGCCGTGGCCGGACCCGCCGCCGCCGCCTGCGAGGAGGGAAGCAGAAGGACGACGACGACGACGAGGAGGAGAAGAGGACGATGCTGCCCCGGCCGCCGCTCCTGCCGCTGCTGCCGCTGACACCGCCGCCGCCGCTGCTACTCTGGCCGCCGCCGCTGCCCCGTGACGCGCCGGCGTCGTGACGTCACCGCCCCGCCCCCCCCGCCCCGGCCGGCTTCCTGCGGCGCTGGGAGAGGGCTTCGCGTGGAGCTCGCCGGAGACCAGAAGTGGGCGGGGCCGGCGTGCGGCCGGGGAGGAGGCGGGGCGGGAGGGCGGGGAGGACGCCAACGCTCCTCGGCGTGCCCCTGACTGCCTTTGCCTCTGCCTCTGCCTCTGCGGGCTTCCGTGCGCCGCCGCGTCCGGCCCCAGAGAGAGCGACCCTCGGGCGCCTCGGGAAAAACAGACGTGGACGCACATGCGTACGGCGGTGTGGGGCGTCTGTGAACAAAGCTGCAGAAGGGCGCCCTTCTGCGCGACGCCGGCACGAGAGAGTGTGCTGTCAGTACTTTTATTTGGGGGGAGAGGGTTTGGACCCCGGGGCTTCTAGACCCGAGAGGAGCCCAGGTTCGCGTCCACTCGGGATGTTCGTGAGCCACAAGGGACCTTAGAGACCGTCTAGTCCAACTCGCGCATTTGTCTGGACTGGATGACCTACGAGGTCACCTTCCAGCTCTGAGGTTCTGAGTCATGTGCAGCGCCCCGCGTCATCCCCTCACAGTCACCAGATAACACTAAAGGTGTAGGGGACAGGGAGCAACCAGAGGGGACGGGGTGCAGCGCC